GGGTCAGGACGCCCACGCCCGCGAGGTAAGTGAGCGGAGTGCCGACGCAGCACCGCACATGCCAGAGTTCTGGTCCAGCAACGTTGTACCGCATGGCGAAGAACTCCCCCTCCACAAGGTCGAGGGGGTGGCCACCAGCGGCTGCCGCCGCCATCGCTGCACACGAGCAGCCCGTCGGGCGCGAGCGGCCGCCGACTGAGCCCGGGCCAGCTCCGCGAGGTCGAGGGCCTCGACCGCCTGCGTGGGCTCTGCGAGCTGCTGCGTCGCCCTCGAGCCAGCCTGGGCAGCCGGCTTCCTCCTGGCGCACCGCCCGGCGCCAGTGCCCGGCACGAGGCGCTCGAGCTGCAAGCCGATGAAGATGCCCGTGGCCAGGACCCCAGCGAGCAGCCCAGCCTGCTCCAGCGCCGGCGGGCGCTCGTGGATCACCTCCTTGAAGCTGGTGGGCTCCACTGGAGGGCAGTCGCAATGCACCACTGGCGCGCAGTCCGGGCAGCCCTGCCGACTATGGGCCCATAAAAGGAAGCTGTTGGAGACCCGTCTGGCGAGTACGGGAAGAACCTCGCGCGCCGCCTGCCGAAAGAAGTGCATAGGCCGTGGCCTGCTTGAGCCTTGAGAATTACGGAACACAGTTCGAGTGCGGCCAGATCTGTCACCACGTGGCTTAAAGTTGTGAAACATTCTATATATATATATATATATATGAAACATGTCTCGAATCTTCAATTCAAACTTTCACGTATTAAATTAAATTCAAGGATTCACTCGTCAGACAGGGGGCTCCGAACGGTCATTCACTGTCCCTGGGTGCGTGGCTGAAGTGGACTTCTGCGGTGCGGATTTTTCTTGCTGCTACTGTTGCCGTTGTTGTTGATGCTGTTGTCGATGCTGGTGTCGTCGTTGATATTATTGTTGTTATTGGTGTAGTTTTTGAATTCTCAGTTCGAAGAAAGAAACAATTAATGTTAATCCCCCTCCCCAGTAACCACTGTAGTACTTCAATGAAGGTGCTTCTCCCCGGGCTCGCACCCTGTTTTACAAGGGAGAGCGACGGGTCACCAAAGTGCGTTGCTGGTCCCCGAACTACAACAAACAACGGCTCCCGCCTGATACCCCCTGCATAAAGTATTATCAGATCGCGCTCTCGCGCGGGACTTCGCCACAACCTAAACAGGAATCGCACTCTCGCGTGGGACGGCCCGCCATGTATTCGAACGCTGCGCCCTCGACACTCGGGAATCACGCTCTCGCCGTGGATTGCCTGATGATTTAATTTGTAAATCGCGCTATCGCTCGAGACCTCCTCGCGATTCATGCAGGACGCAAGCTTCAACAACTCGCCTGCTCGACCTGGCCGCCTGGACCCGCCTTCCAGACCCGCCCGTTAAAGTCTACTCGCCCGGTCTGCCCGCCTGGTTCTGTCACGGGCTTTCTGCTCCTAGCCCCCCTCCTGCTACTCTCTCTCTCTCGTGCTCCATCCTCCTCCCTCCCCCTTGTCCCTTCCTTCCATCTGTCCTTCCCTCCCCTGCCTGAGGGGCTGCACGAAATGCACGTTACAGGTAAGGAAACATATCCCCCCAAGGGGACACGATCGAAGACAAAAGGGGCGGGTATCGAGGGTTAGGGGTATACGTGTTGAATCGCCCGCAAGCAGATAAGAGCGAACAGTATTGAACTGATTGTTGTTGTTGTTGTTGTTGATGTTGTTGTTGTTGTTGTTGTTGCTGTTATTGCTGTTGTTGTTGCTGCTTTTGTGGTTGTTGCTGTTGTTGGTTGTGATTGTTGTTGTTGGTAATGTTGTCATTGTTGGGTGTTGTTTGTTGTTTCTTGTCGCCCTCCCGCGCGCGACCCGGCCTGCGACCCGCCCGCGACCCACCCGCGACCCGCCCCGCGACCCGCCCACGACCCAACCCGCGACCCACCCGCGACCCACCCGCGACTCACGCGCGACCCACCCGCGACCCACCCGCGACCCACCTGCGACCCAATCGCATCCCACCCGCGACCCACCCGCAACTCACCCCGCGCCCGTCCCCTCACTCTTATCCGCAACTGAGGGGTGCTACATAAATTTATTAAGAGTGCAACGGACCAACGTAAAAAAAATGGTTGAGCACGTGCCGTAATAAATCGTCTCGGTTTTCTGACAACGCCGAAATGACTAACGCGCGTGTGGCAGTGAATGTCCCGGTGACGACATCTTCTCCACACCAAGATCTACATCAAAGACTTCTAGGCCTGTCAAGGCTACGATCCTCCCTACCCGCTCTCAATCGGGCCCCACCTCCAAGAGTGTTGGGTGGTCTCGTCTCGTCTCCATCTCTCTATCCCTCTCGTATCCTCCTTCCCGTTCTCTTCCTCGTGCCGCTGCCTCTATTCCTCCTCCACCACGGCCTCCTCCTCCTCCTCCTCCTCCTCCTCCTCCTCCCTATCAACGACGACCTCCTCTTGCCGTGCCGGAATCAGCGGGCCCCCATGCACTCCCTGTCAGTCCTGCGATGGGCGTCGCGCCGCCATGTGCAACGAATGCAGTTCTGGATTTCGGGGCCGCGTCAACAGTCTCCCGAGCGAGTGGTCGCCGAGGGAGGAGGTGACAAGGTTTCATCTGTACACCACCCGCGGCCTTTTCGTCTCCAATCGAGCGCTCGTCCTGTCAGGCGCGCTCCTGCGGCGGTGCCAACTGTACAAGGTGCAGATCTCTGAGCTGAGCTGCTGTCTCTGAAGAGGCATCCTCTTGGATATCACAAGCCGCGCCAGCCTCCAAGAATTCCTACTATAATTCTTCGTGACTCAGCACGAGGTGCACTTGGCGGTGCCCAGACGGCGCGTCGGGAGCTTTAGATTGTATTGGCAGGCTAGGAGGAGCCGCTGCGAACAAGCTTCCGACACATGGGGATGCGAGAGGGGGTTCTCTAGGCGGAGACTGGAGAGGATGCCTGCCCCTGGAGAGGGAATTCGTGAGCCTGCTTCTTGCCGGGGGGGGGGGGCTCTTTTTTAGTGTTTGGGGGTGGGATGGGGGAGGTGGGGAAGAGGGAAGAAGGAAGGGGGAGGCAACATACATCAGGGGGGGAAGGGAGCAAGGGAGTGGAGGGGCACACGTCGATGCTAAACCTCTCTTGATGTGAACGGGAAGCGCGTGAAGCTGTGGAGAGGTGCAATCCCGTGCGACCACATCAAGACGTAACACACATTGGCGGCTGACTGCTGCAGTTCCACTTGAACGGAGCCTCTCAGAGAGGAGTGCCAGCCTCCGGCGGAAGAGGGACCTGCCAGCTTCGCCTTTGGAGCTCCCACTGTACGTGTCACAACGAGCGGCCGCCTGCGCCAAGGTCTTCCGCTGAAGGCCGGCTCAGAGGGGCCCTGACGGCACGCGGCCCCCCGCGCAGGGGCGGAGCCGAGGTCAAGCTAGAGGTCGTGGGGCGCGCTGAGCGGCGCTTCGGGGGCGAGGCGTGGGACTCGTTGAGCCTGACCTTTTCTTGTACTGTTGGGTTTCGCAACCGCCCGCCCGATCAGTGTTCGCGCGACTACCTCGGGCCCAACTCTGACGCGAACTCCGCTCCGCGGACCCTATACCAGAGCTGGGCTCGGGCCCCCGCCTTTTGGTAGCTACCATCGCGTCCCAGATGCACAATAGCAGTGTCGTGCAGCTGACGACGATGACAGACACGAAATGTTTAGCGAGCCCCGGCCCTCGAAGCCACCACTAGAGCACAGCGGGAAACCACTCCGTGACTGCCGAAGACCGCCTGAACAACTTACTACGATGAAGCAATGCCTCATTTCACGAATGGCACTTTCAAATGTCTGCGTATATCTGCTCGCACGGCTCAACTAGCGCTGGCAGGGACGGAAGCGGCACCCTGCTCGTATCCGCAAGGTAATCAACATCACGCCCCGCGCTTCCCGTCATCCGCCGACCCCTGGGGCCACCCGGCTTAGGCATGCCCTGCTGGCTGGAAATATAACATCCGACCTCGCTGGACCGTAAAATGTGCCCCGACGGGCCGCTCGGTGCCCAAAAATGCCAGCGGGCGCCTCGGAACGCCAGGAGGCCCCAGAACCGTGAAGCCCCGATGGGTGCCCAAGTTGGCCTAAACAGCCAACCAAGAAGGCCCAAGAGGCCACATGGGCAGCCCGAGAGTCCCACAAACGTGCTTTCATGCCAAAGACAGGCCTCGAGGAATGCACTTCAAACATCGGAAATCTTCTGTTGCTCCCGCGTCGCGAAGTCCAGGCGCCAGAACTTCCGCTTCTATTGCAAACGAGTTTGTTGCATATGCTTCTTGAGCCCTACGTGCCTTCCTCGCGCAGGGGCCATGCGGACAGTCCCTGGAGCGTTCCCATTCTTGCACTCCATCTCCTAGTCCTTTCTCCTGCTCCTCCGAATGCCTCGTGCTCAAACTTGGCCCCCCCGGACAGCCGTCGTCGGCTTCGGCGACAACTCTCCGAGGCCTTGACGATGTCTGGCTTTCGTGGAAGATATGTGTGATCAGAAGGCGCGACGGCAAGCCGTTATTTCGGCTCTATGCCCCAGACCGTCATACCATGCAGTCAGCATCCGCAGACTTGCATACCCCCACTCGCCTTTCCTGGTTAAGCTGGCTGTGCATCTGATGATGACGAGAAGAAGGGCGGGGCCAAACCAGACCGGGAGAAGGGGAGATGCCCAGGGCAAAGAAATTCCTTGCGCGGCCAATTAGCATGAGCTGGTGAAACTCTAACACGTGCAGACAATCGGCGTACACGCGGCTTGCTGGCAGCACAGGCCGCTACGAAAGAAACATTGCAACGAAGGGAAAGGGTCCAGTGGGAAACGGGTCCTTGATCCGGGGCCTTCCACAGGGACCAACTTTTCATCCTGAAGCGATTTCTGGCCGTCCCAGGCGGGGCACGTGGAGGGGCCCGGGAGGCTAACAACGGTCAAACATCCCAGGTCCCGTTTCCCTCAGGACCCCTCTCCTTCATGGCCAGAGAAGGGGAGGGAGGGGGAGAGGGAGCTAGTTTTACAACGGCCGCCCGTGGCGCGCGGCGGAGGCTTCAGAAGGCGCCCGATTGGCGTGGGGAAGGCCTGGCCTCGGGGATCCGTCGCGGCGCTGGGAGGCTCTCCCCGCGACGGCGAGGGACGAGGAGGAGGACGAAGGACGACGAGGGCGAGGAGGACAACGAGGAGCAAGAGCACGACGAAGAAAACGATGACGGCAAGGAAGCGTGGGCAGGAGAAGCAGGAGGAAAACGAGTGCGAGGATCAGTACCAGAACATCGACTAGGGCCAGGTGGACGAGGACGAAGACAACGACGAGAGGATGGAGGGGGGGAACGACGAGGTGGTCAACGGGGGGCGTAAAGGCCTGAGGTCGGTTGCGTGATGTGCAGCAGACCGGATATGATCAGGCTCTGGGATGGAAGACGATAGGAATAGGGCGCATGAGAGGGAATATGCAGTAAGAGAAGGTATGGTATATGACGGTGGTGATGATGACGGTGGTGACGATGACGACTAGAGAAAGGGAGAAAGGAGGACGATCAGGAGGACCAGTGTAAACCCAAGACGCAATAACGACTTTGCAAGAAACCCTCCCTTATGATTCCCATTCAAAGGTACCTACAACGAGTTACAGTCATTTTCATTATGGGAAATGTTCCATAAGAAACGCAGCCTGAGAACCCCCTACTGTGCCATAATAACGTTCCTGGGGCTCCAACGCCGCTAATCAGCGTGTCTGTTGCGTCCTGGCATTCCCAAATCATGCCAGAACACTATTCTTGGGACTTAACCACCGCGAATCCACGTGATTGTTGCGTCCTGACAAATCCTGAACCGTGTCAGAACACAAGTCCTGGGACTTGAACCCTTCGACGTTTCAGACGGATGTGCGCGGCGCTAATGCGGGAACCACGCTTTGAAAAGGAACCGCCCCTCATTCTTGAAGGCGCTGCACGCTTTACAGGCGACTGTGAGCGGCGCTAGGGCGAGAACCACATTAAACAAAACACAGCCCGACCTCCGCGTCGCCCGCGGGAGGCGCCGCAGACCGCCCCTCCCCTCCACCCCTGCCCGCGCCATCCGTCGGACGTTCCTCCCCGTGCGTATTTTGTCGGCCTCGTGGGCACAGCTGTCGCACGGGGAGCCAGGATGCTCCTCGCTGGTGAGGGCGGAGCGGGGCGAGGAGGGGGGGGGGCGGGGGGAGGAGGAGGAGGAGGAGGAGGAGGAGGAGGAGGAGGAGAGGAGGAGGAGGAGGAGGAGGAGGAGGAGGAGGAGGAGGAGGAGCTGCTGCAGACCTCTAAAACGAATGCGCGTGGCGCTGAGGCGAGAACGCCATCTTGAAAGCGACCCGCCATCCACCCGTGAAGCTGCCGCAAGCTTTCAAAACAAAGGTGCGCGGCACTGAAGCGAGAACACCATGTCGAAAAGGACCCATCCTCCTCCTCCTCCTCCTCCTCCTCCCCCTCCTCCTCCTCCTCCTCCTCCTCCTCCTCCTCCTCCGCCTCCTCCATCCGTGAAGCTGTTGCGCACTTCAAGCTGCAAGATCACAGATGGTGAGGACTCCTCCGGCAAACCGCCCAGCCCGCCCTACCGACCTGTCTGGGGGCGCGACAGGAACGATTTTCACAAGGAAAGCGTGTGGAGGAGGAGGAGGAGGAGGAGCGCCGCGCACGCCCGGATGGCGCATCGAGAAGGCCGCCACGAGGCACACCAGGACGGAGGAGGCCGTCCAGCACGAGGCAACCGGGTGGAAGGAACACATCGAGGAGCACCAGCAGCACATCGCAACCGAAAGAAGGATCGAAAGCTGGGCGAAGGCTGCTAAAACCGTGGCTACTAAAACGGCCCTCCCGGAAGGAAAAAACAACTTCCCGGAATTGAGGCGCGGCACGCGAAGCAATCGACGGGCTTCTTCCTGGACGGACAAAGACAACTTCCCGGAGGTCGATTTTAGCAGCCACGGATTCAGCAGCCCCTGCCCGGCTTCCGAAAGGATGATTCCGGCACATGCGGGGGACACCGTACGCAGGTCAGCACGGCCAAAGGGAAGGGAGGCCCCGACAGGGCCGCGCAGGTCAAGATCACAGCCTGCGCGACGTCGAGGCCAGCGTCAGAGCCGAGGCGGAGCTCGAGGACGAAGCATCGGCCCTGGCAGCACGCCCCAAGGTGCCGGGAAGCACGAGACCACCGGGTACCCGGCGGCGCAGCGGGAGCAGCACGCGGGGGTGGCCGAGCGCGAGGCGCTCCACCAGCGGCAGCAGCACGGCAGGGCCGCGCAGGACCAGCTCCAGGAGGTGCAGTTGCAGCTGCAGGGTATTCGGGCCCCCTCCTCCCTCCTCCCTCCTCCTCCTCCTCCTCCTCCTCCTCCTCCTCCTCCTCCTCCTCCTCCTCCTCTGGTCCGCGAGAGGAGCCACGCCAACGCCGAGGCGGAGCGCCTGCATGACGAGGCCAGCCAGTCCAGGGAGATGGTCACCAGCGCGCAGAGGCATGCCCTGCAAGAGGGGCTCGAGGAATCGCGAGGCGCCCACCAGAGGAACGAGGATGCGTCTCGGAGCGCGGGGCTTCGTGCAGAGTGCCACGCGACCGAGTGCGAGAAGCTCTCGGAGGTCGGCTGCAGTTTCAGGAGATCTGCATCCGGCAGCAGGAGGTCGGGCACAAGGGACCGCTGAGCCTACACCCTGCGAAATGCTTAAGAAATCATGGGTTAAGAAATTCATGGTCTCATAAATGGAATAAAACCCAGAACTTCTATCAAAATCTTGGGGTTTACATTGAAAAACTAAGAATAATCGAGACTCTGGCCGAAAACTTGGGTTTTCTTAAGCATCGCCTGAGGTGTACTGGCGGAGTGCAGGGAGGCGCACGCCGCCGCCTGCCAGGCCACTGAGGATGCTGCCACCGCCCTCAGGCAGGGTGAGGAGGAGGAGGAGGAGGAGGAGGAGGAGGAGGAGGAGGAGGAGGAGGAGGAGGAGGAGGGGGAGGAGGCAGAGGAGGAGGAGAAGGAGGAAGAGGAGGAGGAGGAGGAGGAGGAGGAAGATGAGGAGGAGGAGGAGGAAGGAGCCCCTCCGCGGGCATCGCCAAGGTCTTTTGGGCCCCATCCTCGCCGCGGCGGGCGACTACGAACGCGCGAAGGGCCTTGCCGAGCTACCGCCAACGCCACCGCTCGACTAGCACTCGGAAACGGAGCTGCAGGCATGTCCTCCTACATTGGGGTTTTTGGTGAACCAAATGCCCCCCCCCCCCCCCCCAAATGCCCAAACATGGTCAACTTTAGTCAAGCATCGCCCCCGAACTCTTCCCTTACTAGTTTTGAATATTCCCCTGTAGAGGGACATGCCCGAACCGCGGAGCGAGACCTTGCGGGCTCCCACCTCTGCATGAAGCCGCCGCACGAGGACCCGAACGGAGGGCCTGCACCTCCTCATGCTGGGCGAGTCTCTCTTCGCCCGCGGAACCCTACTCGAGAGCAGGATCGCGGCGCCGAGGGGACCCCTTCAGCGGCCACTGCATCTCGGCATGGCGCAGACAGCTCAAGGCACAACGAGCCTCCGCATACGTCGACGTCAGAGCTGCTCTTGAGGGACGAGGCCGTCGAACAGAAATGGGATGCCGAGCGGGACGAGGACCCACTCCTCGTGCAATGGGCGCTGGACGAGCCTGGCCAATACGAGGTGTGGACCCGCTCGCAGACACGTGCCCTCAGCACCGAGCTTCGGGAGTCCTACGGCCCCAGCCAGCCTGGGGTGGCCAGCTGCTCGTCTCATGCCACGACCCCATCGCTACCATCGAGGATGCCGTGGGATCGACTGCGGCCCCTCACGTTTATGCCAGCTGAGCGGAGCGAACTGCCCACGCAAACAGAGCGAGTACCAGGGTCTCTGGCATCCTCGAGTGGAATGCTGCCCAGGCGGGCCCCTCTGGGCGTGTTCGGCGCTGGACTCGGTACGCGGCGCATGCGGAGAGCAGTGAATCGAGATCGGCACGGACAACGAGCTCGACGAAGACATCGGTGGAGAGAAGCCCCGAGAAGGCGGTACACGGCAGGAGTCTCCGGTCGCGGCGACTGAGCCGCTGCCATCGCCGCAGCGGCAGCCTCCAGTGCTCTTGGAGTCGACCCCCGAAGCTGCCAGCAGGGTGAGGGAGCAGAGGGCCGTTCCATCGAGCGCAGGTGCGCGCAGGAGCTCGGTGGCCATGGCGCACCTGCCTCCCGTGGACCATGGGGCGGCGCGGTCGAGGGCCAGACGAGCGACTCCAGCGAGTCGGGCCTCGCACGGCACCGCCCGTTCTCGTGGCCGAGTGGCAAGGCAGCGAGACGAGCAAGCCAAGTCCGAGGCCAGAGCGGGAGATGGCCCCAGCGGATCCGCACCAGCCGAGGAGAAGTGGAAGCCCGACATGGAGGATGAGGGCGTGGCACGGTAGTTGGGTTTGTCCCAACAGTTCTGTGAAGTTGGGTCCTCGTTTTGAAGCGACAGCGCCCCGCGCCCAACCTCACCTTCCTCCTCCTCCTCCTCCTCCTCCTCCTCCTCCTCCCGCTCTTCCCTTCTCCCACCCTTGCCTCTGCCCTCCGCCCTCCGCATGTCCTCGTCGTCATTATCAATTCCCCTCGTCATCATCATCGTCACCATCACCGCGCAACCCAATTCGGCACACCTCTGACACGTTTCGTGGCCCGATAGGGAGCTCCACCGAACGCTCCAGTGGCAGGGTTCGCATGCGTCCGCGCCTCCAATGTCGGCACACGCCTCACAGGTTTCGTGGCCCCATAGGGGGATTCACCGAAGGACCCAGTGGCATGGTTCGCATGCGGTTGCGCCTACCAGTCTGGCACACCCCTCACACGTTACATGGCCCCATGGAGGGCTCAACTGACGGCTTCCATGTCAAAGTTCGTATGCGTTTGCGCCTCCGATTTCGGCACGCCCCTCACACGCTCCGTGGCCACACAGGGAGCTCCACCGAAAGCTCCAGCGGCAAGTTTCGCATGCGTCCGCGCCACACATGTCGGCTTACCCCTCACACGTTTCGCGGCCCCATTGGGAGCTCGACCGAATGCCACAGTGGCGGGGTTCGCATGCGTCCGCGCCACCAA